AAATTGATCATACGAATGAAGTCTTCATACTCACCCCATTAAAGTCATTTCCCATTTGTGGCATACGTACACCGGGTCGTGGTCCTGCTGGATACCCTCTGGGGCCCATAAACTGTAATAAAATACGTATTTTGATCACATTGATCACGAAAAACAATCTCACTCGTAATTTGAAGATGTAAATCAGGTCAATTCATAAAGTGTCAGTCATGATTACTATACACAGAGTTGACTAGATATAGTATAAATCAGGCAGCCACAATAAGCAATCTGTGAGATGATAGGCCACAAAATATGCATTTCAGTCAAGTTCATCGCAGCACATTAGTTGGTTATATCATTACACACGTCTTAAAGCGCTTTCTGACAAACTGAATGTATAAATAGTTTATTGTATATCATAAATGTAATATTCCACGTTAGAGTAGACATCATTCCATAGAACTTGCGCAATATATATATCTGCATGGTCGGATATCATGAAGGAAACAATCACAGCGATCATGATGGCAGTTACGATTTTCGGTTACCATGATATGGTGCGATGATACAGCGGAACAAGTGATTCTTCATGAGTGAGAGTGTATGTGTTGAATGAGGCTTACCTGGCCGGTCATCATCTGCGAGTGTGGGGGCGGGGGTGGCTGGGGGTGCTGGGGGGGATGGCTGTGATGAGGGGTGTGTGGGCGGAGATGGTCGCATTGTCGAGTTGTTCTGCAACAAGCAACGCAAACGACAGACATGTAGCAACACTGCGATCCAGGCAACAGCTAGACTAGAAGGCTTTGGGGATGATTGTGTTAATACTATGGTCGGTCTCAGCATCTTAAGAGTTACCCGAAGAAAAGAGTTGTAATTATGAAAAATTGAGTGAAACATATCTCGTCTGTCGTTGTACATCTGCTTTTCATAATTACAACTGTTATTATGTGAAGTCGCTTCTAACACTAAACTGTGGAATGAGACATACAAGAGTACGAAAAGACGCCAATTATAAAATGTACAGCATTGTAGAGCGTAAAACGTTATAGGACGACTTCGTTGGAAAGATATGATGACTCCTAAGCATTACAGGATATCTATGTTGAAAAGATCTATGTTGAAAGAGAAATTGTATGTAGACAGTATAAAAACATCGTTTATATACTGTATAATATTTAATCTTTATCTAATCTAATAGGGGACGGCTATTTTAACAAGCAATAGATGCATGACTTTTCTCTATGTTCTTTTTTTTTCACCTATGTTTTATGTCTTACTATATATTCATATTATTATTTATATTATTTTTTATATTATTTATGTTTATAACTTTTATATAATAGATTGTGGACACAAATGTTATGACTGTCATTAAATATTCAACAAAATAAAAAAGAAAAAAAATACAATTTGTAAATAGTACTTTTATGTCTTATTATATAAAGAAAAGATATAAGTAATATAGACATAAATTTAAAAAAGTAAAATACAAACAAAAGTGATTGTAACTTTCAACTTTTAGCTTATCCATCATTCTAATTTTTTACAAGTGCATTATTATTAAATCATAAAGTTATGGAATTACATATTTGTACTATATGGAAATATATTTGCACATCTTACACATTTTAAGAGTATATAAATCTTTTTCATTATTTTTATAAAGCAAAAAAGTTTAGTGAATATAATCAATCCATATAGTATGTAAACAATTTTTATGAAATTACCGTTTTTCAAATAATGTGAAGAAATTCTAAACCACATTTGTAAAAGAAAGACTAAACTACATTCTAAGCAGGCTTTCATGTTAGTTGTCCCATACATTCTAAAAGGTATCACTTTGGCTGGCTATGTAATCCAGTAAAAAGATAAAATTTACGTTTCGCAGACATACTAAATATAAAAACAGCGATGCTTATCTTATCATATTTTTATATGTCATTACACAACCAGCACAAAGTAGTACATTCGTCATAATATGCTTACTGTACCACAATATTGTGCTAAATATATTCTAACATCTATATAATCCTGGTCTTCATAGAATTTCTAGATTTATGCGCCAAGGAGATGAAACAGTGAAAATGGTACAAGAACGCACATACAAGTATTAGATAGAGAGCAGAGAGAAAGTAAGTACATATATACAGTATAGACAAGCATGACATAAGAACGTCTTTTGAATGTACACTTGTTTCAAAACGAATTGATCTTGAACTGATCTAAAGTATGTGTACATTTTGATAATATTGAGATACATAAATATATTTAGATGTATATATATGTAAATATGCATAATGTATATAATTCATTTTCTGAAGTCTAAATAAATATTTATGAAAATCAAATCAAAGTTATGTCATCTATCCACATATAACTTATTTAAATAATTTTCACGTCAAATAACAATTGCATTTTCAAACAATTTTAAAGTAATTCAGGTACTTCCTATCTCCTCTTAATTTACTATATTAATTAAAATTATTTCCCCTTGACCTACTATTAAATTTATGTTATTTTAAATTAGTTTAATCATGTTATGCTTTGAATCAAGTGTAAATTTTAAACAAGAACTATATATGCATAACAATGATAACAGATACATGACTATGTTTATATACATATAAATCAGATTATTATTAATGTAAGAAATTAGTTCAATTTTTATTTAAAAATTTTATTTGTAACATAATTAATCATTTTTTTTTTGGAAAAACTATTAATTATTGTGTAAAAACTGCCTTAAAGCATCTTGACACAGATGCGATTATCTATTGAACATAACGATGAAGATAAATCAAAATTTAATAAATTTCTTAGCTTATTAAAGACTAAATTGCACTTTAAGGTTGGATTTAACGAATACAATCAAAATGCATTTATGTAACTATCGATTTAAATTCGTTAATAGTGGTCTTTTTTTCATTTTATACTCTGCGAGTACAGATTGAGGAAAACGAATGATCTTAAAACATATCAATATTTAAATTAAAAATATACTCACTGCGAAGAAAGGAGGTATAGGACCACCTGGCATTCCATCATTTGGTGGCATTTGACCAATTGGAGATGGAGCTGGTCCAGCATTCTGTAAACATTGTATAATTTTAGTATTTGGTATAAGTTTTTTTTTTTTTAGAAAAAAAGATCAAATATTTTAATTAATAAAGAAAAAAATTTAAAGAAATTTATTTATAATAAATTTTAACATATATTCAAAAATATATTTTCTAAATTACTGCATTAATTACCGCACTTATTAAATAGAAAGTGGGTCAATATATAATCCAAAAAGTTTAAAAAGAAAAATGACACAAGTCAAAAACATCAAATCTGAACGACACAACTCAAGATGTGTCATGTTTCCTGAACAAAATTGCAACACTCATTGACGATTGAGACACAACTGAAATGTGACACTATTCTTGGTTCATTATAAAATATTATTTGAGTTGGCCATAGTGACACTAGCAGATTCACACAGGAAGTATTTGAATTTAACTTGTGTTATTTTTCCTGATTGAAAGCTGATGTATTTATAACACAATCCTCATATAAAACAAAATTCGAAAAATTTTGACTTGTGTCACTTTTCTTTTGTGTGATATACTTAAAAACAAGTATTGATATGAATTCTTTAACTTACATGTGCAATGCCGTTGACGTTGTAAGCACTGTTCACAAATCCCTAGTAACAAAATACACATTGTAAATAAAATGCAAAATTTTTCTATCTATTTTTCTATTATTATAATATTAAACTATTATTATAATATTAAACTATTATTATAATAACTAATATTAACTTTAAAGCAGAATATATTGTTGATAATTACATAATCATGAAATGCTTTGGCCTCACTGCTGTGTTCACAAGAATCTCTCCTCTCGGGTGCTGCACAGTACAAATCCCAAAACACACTGAAATAATTTCACACAATTACTTTATATCAGAATATCACTTACAATATGTAATATTTGCTTTTTTAAACAATAATATAGTACTCACCACCACCAAGAGTGCAAAAACCCAGGTGGTTCTCCAAGTGTAATATTTTTCTCCCATCGAATCTGCATACAACATTATAGCATATATAGTATTTTGAAATAAAATAAATATATACATAGAAACAAATAATATAAAAATTATTACCTCTGATAGAAATGTTTGTGCTGCTTTTTGTGCACCTACATGTAGCAAGTATTCATATACATAAAGCGCCAATCTAGAAAAAAATATTAGTTATGTTATTAGATATATTTAAAACTATAATAAAGAAAATTTAAAAAAGATTACAAACACAAACATTCAGACGACAAGGAGCACAAAATGGTAGAAAAATTACGCAAACGGACGATCGGAATTTTTTACACCAGGCATTGTTTTTCTTCTTTACGTTTTAGAAAGCCCATACTTAAGATCGCTTTACTTCAACCATCACACTTCCTTACGGGTCCACGTCCGTTAAGTTAATGCCGACTTTCCCCGCGTAAGCAATAACGCACGAATAACGCATCCAGCGAAATGCATCGCAAGCATCGCGGCGCCAAGACCGGCTCCGCGAACGATACAAACATGGCGCGGAATTATGCCGATTCGCGAATCGGAGCGCGTACTTCTCAGTGACTGACAGCGCGCGCGGATCAATCGCCTTTTGCGAGAAAGCGGGTTACGCGCCGCGAATCCCGGCTAAACAATTTCTTAATCGGTCGATTTCATTTCTATCGCGATTTTCCAGCTCTAAAGTCCTAAATCTTTCGTCCGCGCTCTAAATAACCTTTCGAATCTGTTCGTTGCAACATAATAAACTAAACTTGCAGCTATCAGCAATGTCAATTGATTAATGTAATAGATTCTGCAATTTATACTGCAACTAATAATGTTTTCAAATAATTTGATCGACCCAAAATTGATTAATGACGTCATTGCATCGTCTCCACCAATAAAATATTAAGCGATTAGACTTGAATTTATAGTAAAATAGTGATTAATTGATCCGGGATGGATCAAAATCTGTTCACTGGAAAACGTTATAAGATTATAATTTAAAAGAGATTAAGAAAACAAATCTTAAAGAATGTGTCAAACAAAACCGAAAATCAAATACTCAATTGACGGCAGATAAAAAAAAGAAAACAAACCTTAAAGCAATAATATATTAACTGTTTCGATGAGATAACTATTCAATGATATTCTAATCTCATTCAAAATTAAAATAAGATTTATCTATTTCAATTACTCTTTCAAGTTACACATATAACGGAAAATAAATTTATTCTATCTGACAGATACGAGAGCAAAAATATACATGTATACCAACCTAAGAAAAAAAAGTGCAGGTGTAATCTTATGTCACAGACAAAAAATTGATAGATAAGCTCAAACTGTTTTAAATAAATAAGTAACTAAAATCAATAAATAAATAATAGGTGACTAAGTAACTATAACCTATAAACTTTCCCCTATCAATTTTAATCGTCTGCATTTTGCAAGCGTAATTCGTGCGGGACTTGTTTTGCGCTCTTAAGATCAGGAGTTGATTGTTGAAACTTCGAAATCAGAATGATATGTTCGGCGGTGGTGACCTCATAAGATTCATAAATTAACGAATTTTTGTCTCGCAATAATATGTGTACACTGATTTGCCAAGTGGACGATCGAGCCTTTCATTTGAACAAGAAATGAACAAAGAGAGAGAAAGAAACAGAGGGGAACGAACAAATCGGCAGCTCATCGGCCATCGGTAAACTGGATTAACCCGACGAACCGGGTTCTCCGGTCGCGATGTACGCGCGGTACACGAGTAAAAAGAACCGGCGACGATGAGGGAGGGGGCGAGATGGAGTGAACGGGGCGCCAGGGAAGGGAAGCACAGGAGAGGGAGTCAGGAGGATGCTCGGAGAAAAATGGAGTTACCGAGCGATCAATGGCCGGTGGAATTTTCACGACAATATGACGCCGATTTTTTTATCTTGTCTCTCCTCTTTCTCTTTCTCTTTCTTTCATATTTATATATAGGATACGTACTTTTCCCTCGCTTGTGAGTCCGAGGGCACCGACGACCCCTTGCCTTTCGCGTACATGGTCGCCGTGGTGGCCGGTCAATCCTTCTCAACGTAAACACAAGTTATGCACCGTCGTTATTCCGTGCGTCGCTGGATGGTCGAGTGAAAAGAGCGATTAGGTCGGAGACTCGTGAGCGTCTCTCTGTATAAGCAATCCGTAGCGTCGTTGCCGTATCGGTGTTTATTACGTATGTGTGCGGTCAGTGTCTGTCTCGCTCATTCGCGAGCGACGGATGGTAATCCGATGTACCGTCGCTCCGCTGACGATGACGTGCGACGCGTGTCAAAACGAAACGCGAGAACGTATACGAAGCACGAGAGGAGTAGAGGGGAGGGACACAACACTCCAGCGCGCTCGTCAGCAATCGCTCGCGCGCACACTCTTTCTGTCTCTTTTCCACTGTCTAGAGAAGTCACAGGAGATGAATTTCGTCTCTTTCTCCCACACTCGTTCTTTACTCGCTCGCACACGAATAAGAGAACGGTCCTCCGTCCCGCGTCACGTCACGATCACGTCGCGTCACGGTCGGAGCGAGATGCCTGCTGCTGCTGTGTGATACTGGAGCGACACGCTACGACGCATCACGACGTCGTCATCGCCGTTCGTCGTTCAGGTGCGTCGTTGGGGGCGCCTCGTCACCACCGTCACCGCCGCCGCCGCCGCCGCCGCCGACGTCCTCATCGTTTCACCGCACTTCTTCCTGTCCATGCGATTTGTCTTCCCGATTCACTATTTCACAGCTTGCGTTACTCGCGCGCGTCTATTGTCCTCTATTACACGCACGCCGCAGCGAAACTTGTCGCCGCCGCTGCTGCCGCCGTTGTTGGTCTTTCACTTTACGTTGGTACTCACTTCACGTAATTCACTTCACTCCACACGCTCGCCAACCACTAGTCGCCGCGTATCGCGCATCGCAGCGGAACCGTGTATCGAAAACAGACTCGATCGTCTTGATTGCCGCCACCGGACACTGCTTTCGTCCTCGATGAGTCTCGCTTTGTCGCGCGCGCAACCCGAAGGAGCGTCTCGCAACACGGAGAACGGTGTATCACTGTGACGGCGCGGTATACATAGCGCATATGTGAGCCCCGCGCGCGCGCGCGCACACACACACATACACTGAACAGAGAGCAGCGAGTGAGAGGTGGTGAACGATGGCCGTGAGAGGGGAAACCGGGAGCGGGCTGGACTTACTGTCGTGTAAACACGAGCGAGTTCGGAAGTGTGACTCGGTAGATTTCGCACGCGCTGTACGACTACACGCAGATGAGTTACACGGTAGATACGTGCTTCCCCTCTTCCCTTACTCTTGCTTGTTACGCTCTGTCTCGCTTTCTCGGTGTATCGCATTCTCTCGTTCGATCTCTCGCGCCATCCTCGTTTCTCGCATCGGCTGGGAGTAGTGCGCGCGCATCGCTGTTTATTGTGCCAGGACTGTAACGCACGGCTGATGAAATGGAGACCGAACAAGGAGAGTCTTCCTTCCTTGAACACAATTTTTTTCACATCGATACGGATCAATCAACATCCTAGCATGCGTATAAGATATAATGAATAGTTTTCATTTGGAATTTCTGTGACAGGTATTACATTTCTTTTTTTCGTATAAAACTTATTTTGAATTTCTTGTTGATTGCAAGTTTGTGTGTGAATTCTTATTAATACCATCATTACACAAGACGTACAGTGAAAATAATTATATATACGAAGCATTAAAATTGATATTAAAAGAATATTGACATAAGAATACATCTTTGTTATATAGACTGCAATTACTTCTTATAATTTGGATTCGATGAAATACTAATGATCTTCTTATTTTAAGAATTTGATAAATTTTGAATTTGCTTTTCAAGTAAAAGAAAGAAATTGTATGTAGTATAAACATTTTTTTACAGCAACAAATCTCTTAAAAATTAAATTATAAAATAAGTAAATTACAACAGAAAATTGCCAAGAGATTATATTCTTATCTAAAAATTATGCTGTACACAAAAAAACGATCTAAACAAGTAATACTCTTTTCAGGATACACACATACAAAACAAGCTGAAAGGTCTTGGATACCTGAAATACAATTGTGAAAGTTAGTCAATGTCTCAAATTCTAGAAAGTATTGACAGTAGGAAACTTCTACACTGAAAACTGCTTGACATCAATTTAATCAAGACCATAAAAATATATAGAGAAAATAATTGTATTCTTTCAATTTTTTCTAGTCATTTTATATACTTATATATCAAATTTGACAGGAAAAAATGAGCAATTAACTGCACTGAATTTATGATATACTATACGACTACATAAGAAATAATTGCAGTCTATATACATTTTATTTTTTCTTATACATTATATAAAATATTTTATATAAGGTATAATTGTAATATACTTTATTCTCTTGCTAGACTTGCATTATTAAACTTAGGCTTGTTATTATTATCAATACGAGATTGCTGCACGGTAAGCATGTTATATTTGTGCTTGTTACTTATCAGAGTTGCAGCGAGGACAACTCGTGAAAAATTCTGTCGTCGACCGCGAACGACATATCGTCAACGAGGCGAGGTTGTATCATACAGGAATCGTTAAAAATGCGCTGATATTGGGATAGGTCGATATTTCGAATTGTAATAAAGGCGCAGGCGTAAAACAAGCGAGAAATTATACGCGACATGTCGACGGCACATTGTTGAATAAAGGACGAAATCGTCCTAAAAAGGATTTTTGGAGGGGAAAGGGGACGGAGGGAAGGTTAAACTAGGGGAACGCGCATATTCGCGCCCGATCTTGGTACGGCACTAGGTTGCAACTTCGCATCGGATTGGATGGCGACCGATGCACACACGGGGCATAATATAAACGGTGTGCACACACCGTCGAGTACTATCGGCGTGCGTACGTCGACAGCATGGAGCGGGGGAGGAGGTACGTGAAGGGCTGGGCAGGGGTCGCGAGACGAAAGGGGAACGAAGAGCGGGGCCCGATTATGCCCGAAGGCTGGCGGACATGTCCGATGCGAAATAGTCGACAATTGACGCGATAGAGAGTTTGGCGAGAAGGTAGCGGGCGAAGGGGGAAGCTACGCTGTTCTCCCGGGTGAACCGCTTCCCCTTTTTCAATTTTATCATGCGATCGACATAGGTATGTATATCGGATCGACGTCGCTATGCGAAATTAGACGAAACGAAATCTATAATGTAATTCTACCCTTCTTCCCCTCCTCGTAACTCAATCGAGATAAATGCGAGCTGTGGATAATTTATTCGAAATTTGTTTCTTAAAAATTATGTACGCAAATTCGAAGGTACTGAATTCTTGAAGTATATTAGGTTGTGTTGGAACATGTACCTTGTATCTGTATACACATCTTGTACACATTGTTTGACGATTCTTCATAATTGTAAAGATAAATTTATCGGTGTTTAGTCGCTCCCGTGCCAGCTATGGACGGTCCAGGCACAGTTACATGGGAGGAATTCCTCGAGAATGCAGAAAGGTTTCTTGTTGTCTCAGACGAGATATCAGACGGATGGGAATTTCGCGGGAACAAGGTATATCCTACATCACGTGTATTATTTATTGTTGAATTACTTGTTCATACGAATTCTTACATGTAAACCGAGTAAAAATGCAAAATATGCAAATCGAGTCATTAATATTAACGACGTTCACAATCGTACACATTGTTATTCTTTGAAAATAGATAAAATTTAATAATACTTAAAATAATGCTTAAAGTGGCTTGACTCATGCGCACTTCTAACAAGCATCAAGATAAACTTATATACAGTTGAAAGTATGCCAACGATCAAGAAATAAATTTATTTTGTTTTATTACTGGTTGTTTAGCATGCGGCATTCACAAAATATCATCTTCATATTCTCATAACGATGTTATGCATGCTTAGAATATTCCTGGAAAAGCCTATCTATTCAGAAAAGCCAAATACTTCTTACCATGCGATTCCATCACGAGAAACGGCGGATCGAGCGGCGACAACATCGATGGCGACGATGCCGAGGAATTCCACATAAAATTTCAGGATGATCCGCATGAGACTCCTTCCGTATCCGAAGCACCTTTCATCACCGAGCATCACATCCTGTGGTCAGAGAGTTACGGCGTTCCAGTTCTCTACTTCAATGGATGGAAATCAGGTAACTCAGACGACTCGGAGAGTCGTTGATTGCATAGTAATTGTGAAAAAAAGAAACTATAATTCATCTGGCAAAAAATAAAAAAAATATGTGTCACTTATGAATTATGTGATTCAAAAAAATTTTTCTAAAACTATTAATCTGTTTCCTAGAATGATGTATTTTGTACAACATGATGCATTTCAAAATTTTGAAAATTATAGAAATAAATAGCCAGTTCGCGGTTGTCGACATATTCGTGCTTCCCCTGTCGCATGCATCGTTTATTGATTATAAACGCAAACGTGCTCGCCTATTTCAACATTCGCGCAGATATTCCAACGGTATAATTAATCTCGATAACGCAGTTTTAGCAGAGCGAAAATTGCGTCATGTCGTTCGTATTAATTAACACTGATCATCTTTTATGAATTCATAAATAAAAAAAAGCAATTGTCGTGAGACTTAATGTTTTTTTTAGATTTCCTTGGTATTAACCCAGTGAGCATAAATGAGGCTCAAACGGTCCACGGTTCTAAATTAAATCACATGGAATTATCGCAAACGATTCATCCTATCGTTAGCAGTCCATTCTTGCAATTACATCCATGTCTCACACAGGAATTGCTACGAACTATGCCAAAGAGGTGAGAAACGGCCCTAAATCAAGGGAATAAAAATAAAATAAAAATTCGATACATTAAAAAAATTTATCACTTCTCATTCTTTATTGAGAACTTTATGAATGTTGCAGCAAGAATAAACTCGTCAGTTGGCTGAGCTGCGTGGCATCTGCGGCTCTAAATCTCAAAATACATCCGGAATATTACAAGCTGACTTACTAAAGTCTCCAGCCGTCTTGAACTAAAAGAATGATAAATGTTTGAAACATAATCAGCGAATCCGATATGCAGGTATTGTTTATCAAATTAAATATTTGATAAAAAATTAAGATAAAAATCTTAATTTAAAAAAGGGGAGGATGTATTATATGATTTTCTAAGAAAGGTTAAATAGCCACTTATACCGATGACCGGTCATTCTTGTGTGGATGTGATGACTTATATATCTAATATCTATTCCATGTTTTGAGATTATCTGCGAATAGTGCAGTCTCGCGTCTCGTCTCGAAAATAATTTCAGTCTCGAATATTCGGTGGCAAGAATTTGAATAGAATTCGTTCGCGCACGGCAACGACATGACAGATCTAACATTGACCCATCGGGCGGTCCGGGTAAATTGCTCGCAATTGGGCGCGTTTGCGTTCGCGCGCGCAAGCAACCAAGCAAGAGACCGGAGCGTGGAAAAGAGAGCGCGTAATTAATGCGACCGCGCAGCAATTAATTCGCACAAGGACAATTTGCGTGCGGCCCCGGAATATTTATTCCCAACGAACGCGCAGTTTTCGTGCATGGCAACCGCATACAGCCGGGTGTATTAATGAGCTTGTATTTGCGAGGATTACATTTTCATTCTTTGTGAATAGATAAAGTAATTAGTCATACAATATTAATTGAAACTAAAAGGCATAATTTTTAAGTATTGCAGAGAACTGATCGCTTTGAATGTATAAGTGCACCGTATACCGTTAATGCAGCCGACTATATGCAATGCTCCCGTCTCGTCGCGGCCTACGTTCATATTCGCATCGCACGCGTACCAGCGACTCTCAACCGACCCGGCGTCTGGCATAGAGCGTCTATTGTGATAATCCCGTTAGCCTCGTCTTCTGTGCGTCGGTCTCGGTTTGTGGTGAGCATCCGCTTCGCGAAACACGTGCCGTTTTAAATTACAATAGCAAATATACGACGTTATTAATGTGCGACCTCCATTTTAGATCGCCCCCATGGTTGCCGCGCGTCTTTTTAGTCAAGCAAAAAAAAAACGTTGAGAAAGTTATTTGTAGCGGTGGGAAGGAGAGGACAACATATTTCGGCTGAATGGAGTAATTTGATTTGTTTCGCATTCGTCGAGAAGTTGATCGGAATGAATTTTTTTGTATGTTAGTTGTAGACAAGAGTCAGAGAAAAGAGCGAATTTTCGTTTATCAAGTTTAGACGACACTTATTAATATTGACCATGTATTTCCGTTAGCACAGGCTGAAAGATCGAGCCGTTAGGAAAAAAAAAAACGGCACGTTCCCCTCTCGTGTGGCTACTAAACGCATACGTAATTGACATCTGCTCGCTGTGCTAATTCACATTAGTATTTGTAACTTTCTTTTGCGTATATATAAAATATATATAAAATATATACTAATGCACAACGAAATATATAAATATAAATATTACAATATATAAATATTAACGAAAGAGATTAGCTCATATACATTTTATTTATACATATATTTCATTGAGGCTTTTTTTATTAACTGCAGCATGTTGAATCTTTGTTTAAAAATTTTAAAATTAAATCAAAATTTGCAATTTGCATTTATGATATGCCGACTAGATAATTATTTTTATTTAAAGCAGCTTAAAGGTAGCATAGAATAAGTGGAAAGCTTTATTTCTTTGTTTATTATAAACCTGAATTTTGGCTGACCGTGTATATATGATATTTGAATTAAGAACAATTAAGTTAACAACTAAATTAAGAACAATGCTATATTTATAATGAAACTTGCGGATAATAATTTTATTTCTTAGTATCTAATTTACTATTATTTTTTTATGTATAATGTAAAAAAATACTTTGTTACTAAACGAATACAATAATATAAAAGATTTAGTAAATTTTTATACATTTTTTATTCAATTCTTTAATCTTGTATCTTTTTAATTAATTTTAGCCGTAGTACATTGTTCTGAGATACAAATATAGCTTGAAACAGAGCAAAGTAATCCGTCGAGGCGAACAATAGTTACTGGCTCCACCTACGAAGGCGATGTGCCAAGCAACCGTGAAGAAAGGTTCGTCCCCGTCGCGCCCGCGCGCTTTTCGAATGCGAGCTTAGCTCAAATTACCCCGCGCTTGACTATCGCGCGCGCTCTCAATCTCGCGCGGTGCTCTCGCGACCGTCTTCACGCAACAGGAACGGCGGTCGTCGCGTCCCGCGCGCGCGCGCGGATTGCAAGTAGTCTCGCATCTCACAGCTACCGGGTATGGTGTTTCTCCTGAGTGGCACACAAATTTCACGAGAGCGAAAGAACGAACTATTACTCGCCTCTGTAAAGTGAATGGTTGTCGAAAAGAGGTAGAATTTTCTTTGCGAAGCGTTGTGTCCTGAAAATCGATAAAAAAGGAGAAGAGGGAGAGAGGGTGTAATCAACAGGAGGGAGAACGAATCGGAGGTGGATCCTCCGATTGCGCGCCAAAACGGATGCTGTAAATTCCGAAATTCACTCAGTAACCGCGCTAGCTTTAAAAAAACACGGTACGCATTTTTCTTAGATTATCTGAGATTTATTGAGTTAGTTGAGAAGTTAGCTAAGATATCATATCCCACGGGTGCCAATATGGTAAAATTTAAACGGCAGTGCGAGATGAGTGCGCGAAGGCGAGCAAATGCGACACTTCACGTTATTATCCGAATTTTAGGAAGAGACGTTATATCGATCTTTCGCGTGATGTGCGTCGCGTGGGCAGTACCTCCTGACATCTGATTCGTTGCGTACGTCAGACGGAAATAGAAGCGCCCGGATAGAATCCGGGTGACAATGAATTTGCCATGGCGACCGCGCAAAGTCGGTGGCGGAGGAGGATAGAGCGCGAGCGCGGGATTACATATCCTCCCGTAGGACGCTATCCCTCCCATCGTGCGATATTGCAAAGCGTTCGTTGCGTAAAGCCATTCATTCCTTTTCGCCGCTTCGCAACCCTTCCTTCCACCGGTTTACACTGGGTGATATCGAAGATCGTGGTAAGAAATAAAAAAAAAAAAAGATACAGCAACGCAATCTAATAACGTGCCGAAAAGTGGCCGAAATATAGAAGAGAAAGGTGTGACCTCGGGCGATCTCCTCCTCCGACGATCATTGAAAATCATCGACGGGAGACGCACACGTGCCGAAAGCGAGTCGGCGAGACAAGCGCGCGCTTGCTTGTAGATTTAGCGCGATTTTTTGCCTCACCCACCGTGTCCATTTATCTCTTTTTCTCTCGTTCGCCAACTCCATCCTCTTCTCGCGCGCTTTTCGAACGCGTGGCGTGGACGTCACACGCCGCACTATAAAGAAGCAACTTTACGCCTCGCCGCCACAGTCTCGCGATCGTCGCCGCGTTGCGCGTAACCGAGTTCCTTCTCGTTATCCGGAAGCGCAATTAATCGCGATATACTCGACGTACTCGTTTGGACGCAGTGTGAAACCATCGCGACCAGTTGTCAGTACGCTGTGTCATCTCGACGGTATGCTTTGCAACATCTGTTTATGAACACGACAACAATGTTCTCCACGAGATATTAACAAAACGTTGCAAGTAAAAGATAGTAGACCGGACAGCTTCGAAATTTGACAAAGTTGAAAAAAGAACGTTGAAGTTATAGTTGTTCAAAATTAAAATGTGTACTTTGCAAAATATTTTTATCGTTCAGCGATTTTTATGATTATCAACGTACGAAAAAATTCAACGTGCTTGGTTTTATCACAGAATCGAATCATCATTCGTGTAACTTTGATCATTTGAAATTTTACTACACAAGTGTTTTTATACAAGTGCAAATTTTTTTCTATCGCTTAAACACGCGTTATTAGAAACATTCTATATAAATTTTGTTTTATCTTAAAACAAGTCCAAATCTGTTCACGTAAAAAGATACTGACAATGATAATATCTCTTGCTTTCTTCAATTTGACCCTGTTTTTTTTATCAAAAATTTTTCTATATATTCATCTTATCTCTTTTTATAAGAAAAAGATGTAAATAAAAAAAGATTGCACTACAGTGAACATTTATGAAGGCCGTGAGAACGTTGTGTACAGTTCGATACCTTGATTAACGAATGCTCGTGCGGATGATTATGGGTTCGAAGGTTATCGGAATTAATCGAGAAGCGCGCATACACACACATATACACGAGGTATGAGAATCGGAGGCTTAAATTTGGAGCGAGGGCACACCGTAAGGGACAGTTTAGGACTGCTTCTATTGCCAATCGTCCCGCGCTTGATTGCACACTACACGTTTATAAGGCTTATATGCCGAATATCGCGACGGTCGGCGAGGCGTGAAATATATCGTCGGCTATTCCGCGCGATTAACTCACGAGTCGTCAAACCACTTGTGCATCTCTCGAATAATAATAATCGTCATGTTCAGTCTCCTTTCGTCTCCACGTCGGAATGATAATTGAATCGCGATATGCGTGATACGTAAACTAACTTAATAACGACGATCGAGAGCAAATTATATCGCAAGTGGAGTTATTACATTTAAAAATTGATAATTGCAACATTCTATCGATTATCGCTTAGTCTTAATTGTTGACATTATCGTTAATATCCAATTTAAGAGAAAGATAAGCATATATAGTTGGGTGAAATATAATTTTTGTCATAATTGATTTACAATCTCGATTTACGATTAGCAACTGTTTATCTTTCCACATAACGTATTACATGATAGATTATACGTAACACTGCGCGCACGTGTTGCGTTAGTTGTCTCGTGCTCCATCGATTGACTCGTTCTAAGTTTCTTTTTCAGCAGTATTAAGATATCAAATGTATGAAGGGAAAAAAAGAGAAAAGAATCGTGTATTGATACTAACACATTTTTCGTCGACAAGTTGACAAATCATTACAGCATAACGATCGTAACATCTGTCACTGTCATGTTACATCGAAAAGGTAAACAGCAACGAAATCGGATTATGTATTCAAGCGGATTTGTTTGCGCACTCGCGGGTTGAGCACTTGTTCCTGACGTGTCTCGCGCGTTATGTAAAAACGATGGTAGATTACTGCTCATTAATATCATCATGCGTTTGATAACAAGCATTAAAAATAAATGCCTTAATATACAGAGCTTATTATGACCGATTGAGAAGCCTAAATTATCAGTTTTCAACACGTTGTTAATGCTTTGTTACAGATAACGACAAGGTTGCTATATCATCTTCCCAAAATTGTCTGCTTCAGAAGTCGCCAAAGTGGCGTAAGCAGTACGCTCCTCATATCAAAACATAACAAGATTTATTTGGAAAAGGAGACACAAGAGGAAAAGATAGACCAAACTGCCGACGGTTCATTGATAGTGAAAAAGCTTGTTTCCGTAGCGAGGTGCGCATCGGACGTGGCCGAAACGAGAGAAGAATCTCCA